ACATATACATATATGTATATATATATATATATATATATATATGTGTGTATATATATATGTGTGTATGTATGTGTGTGTTTATATATGTGTGTGGGCTTATATATGTGTATACGTTTATATGTGTTATATATGTGTATGTGTTTATATGTGTGTGTTTATATACATGTGTGGGTGTTTATGTGTATGTATATATGTGTATGTATATATGTGTGTGTGACTACTGAATGGCAAAATGTGTGTACATGAGAGCAGTTAATGGTGAAATGGGTGTGTGTGCACATGCATATCTGTGTGTGAATGGTAAATGGTGAAACGTGTGTGTGTGTGACCAGTGAATGCTGAAATATGTTTGTGTGTGTGTGCGCATGCATGTTTGTGTGAAAGGGGTGAAATGTGCATGTATGTGTGTGTGTGTGTGTGTGCGTGCATATGAAAGTGGTGAATAGTGTGACTGCTGCATTGTGAAGTGTGTGTGTCTTTGTGGATAGATGTGTGTGTGTGTGTGTGTGTGTGTGTGTGTGTGTGTGTGTGTGAGACTGCTACAGGGTGAAGTGTATGTGTGTGTATCTGTATCAGTGTGCATAAACGTGTGTGTATCAGTTTGTATGTGTGTGTGTTTGTGTGTGTGTGTGTGTCATTTGTGCAGCTCAGTGAAAGTCAAACTTTATCTTGACACAAGCAGCAGGACAGGAGTGTGTGACAATATCACTGATGAGCTGCAGACACACGCAGCATGAGTGTGTGTGTATGCAGTTAAGTGTCTGTGTGTGGGTCAGATTGTGTGCCTTTTTGTGTCTGTGCAACTTTGGTTCCATGTATGTGTATTATCTCGGGGCGCGTGCGCGTGTGTGCGTAACCTGGTATCTTCCGGTCATCAGCTGGTTCCGGGACGGTGTGCAAAGCGGCTGAACGTAGTAGTTGTCCAGCCGGACTCCCTGCGCCGCCAGCCGGTCCAGATGAGGAGTTTTAATCTCAGAGCCGTGGAAACCCACATCATTCCAGCCCAGATCATCCGCTAATATGAGCACCACATGCGGGGGTCTGGCGGACACACACTCCAGCACAACACACAGCAGACACAGCCCGAGGTTCCCCACAGACATCCTCAGCCCGACACGGAAGAGCAACAAACACCAACTTCCGCTCAACACATCGCAGATAATCCACCCAAAACAAACTAAAATAACCACTTAAACTAGAACAACTTTAAAAGGAACACGCGAAATCACCACAACTGACAAGTTCCAGCTCATGAATAATACTCTTCCGCTTCTGCTCATGAATAATAAAGTCATGTGATGAGTTTTGATTGGCTGTGCGGCTCTGGTGCAGCCTTTCCGTTTTGTCACGTAATTAATATTCATTAGGTAGATTTCCAAAGTATGTCTGCCTTTTATAGAGTGTAAAGGGAAGTTCAAATTTGGTAACGCGTTAAAATAAGCTTACGTTAGTTGACATGAAACATAATAAATAATGATTAAAAACGTATAATAAAATAAAAAATAAATAATAATAATAATAATGCTTTTACATTATTCAAATGTACAGTTGCATGGTCAGAAAACCTTAATGTTAAACCTTAACGTTATTTCACATGTTCAGTCATTTTACTTCTACAGTAAATGTGTCTTAATTTAAGAATATTTGTAGAGAACAAGACAGAGGAATAATATAGTTGTTGTTAATCAATTCTAAAATGACCACGTTATGAAAAAATATCCTGTTTTAAACTTAAACAATACACTCACCGGCCACTTTATTAGGTACACCTCACTAGTACCAGGTTAGCCCCTTTTGCCTTCAGAACTGCATTAATCCTTGGTGGTGTAGATTCAGCAGGGTATTGGAAATATTCCTCAGAGATTTTGCTCCATATTGTCATGAGAGCATCACACAGTTGCTGCAGATTTGTCGGCTGCACATCCATGATGCCAATCTCCCGTTCCACCACATCCCAAAGCTGCTCTATTGGATTGAGCTCTGGTGACTGTGGAGGCCATTTGAGTACAGTGAACTCATCGTCATGTTCAAGACACCAGTCTGAGATGATTGAGCTTTATGACATGCTGCGTTATCCTGCTGGAAGTAGCCATCAGAAGATGGAGACACTGTGCTCATAAAGGGATGGACATGGTCAGCAGCAATACTCAGGTAGGCTGTGGCGTTGATGCTCAATTGGTACTAATGGACCCAAAGAAAATCTCCCCCACACCATTACACCACCACCACCAGCCTGAACCGCTGATACAAGGCAGGATGATCCATGCTTTCATGCTGTTGAGGCCAAATTGTGAGCCGAGCATCTGAATGTGTGAGCAGAAATGGAGACTCATCAGAGCAGCAACGTTTCTCCAATCTTCTATTGTCCAGTTTTGGTGAGTCTGTGTGAATTGTAGCCTCAGTTTCCTGTTCTTAGCTGACAGGAGCGGCACCCGGTGTGCTCTTCTGCTGCTGTAGCCCATCCGCCTCAAGGTTGGCCGTGTTGTGTGTTCAGAGATGCTCTTCTGCAGAGCTCGGTTGTAACGAGTGCTTATTTGAGTTACTGTTGCCTTTCTATCAGCTGGAACCAGTCTGGCCATTCTCCTCTGACCTCTGGCCTCATCAACAAGGCATTTGCGCCCACAGAACTGCCGCTCACTGGATATTTCCTCTTTGTCGGAGCATTCTCTGTAAACCCTAGAGATGGTTGTGCGTGAAAATCCCAGTAGATCAGCAGTTTCTGAAATACTCAGAGCAGCCCGTCTGGCAGCAACAACCATGCCACGTTCAAAGTCTCTTAAATCCCCTTTCTTCCCCATTCTGATGCTCACTGTGACCTGCAGCAGATCCTCTTGATCATGTCTACATGCCTAAATGCAGTGAGCTGCTGCCATGTGATTGGCTGATTAGATATTTGCATTAACAAGCAGTTGGACAAGTGTACCTAATAAAGTGGCCGGATAATGTGTATACATTAAAAAAAAGTGTATGTTATGGCGCCACCTGTCAGAGAGGTGATGTATGAACACTGTACACAAATACAGAAATAATCTTTATTAATAATCAATAATCTGTGATAGTGAGATTGTGTTCTTCTCTGGCTGTTTTTAAGACTCATGAGTTGATCTGATCCCATACAAAGACACTCAGTGATTGAAAAGACTGGAAATAATTCACAACTGCACATAAAGACAAAACATTGGAGCAGCAGCAAAACCTAATAAAGCTAACGCAATCCAGCTTAAAGGGTCAGTTCACCCAAAAATTACAATTTCCTCACTGTTTAGATCACAGAGAAAGATCATTTGAATAATATTGCAGTCCTGTAACCATTGAATTCCAGAGTATTAGTTTTTCCTACTATGGAAGTCAATGGTTATCTTCTTTTGAGCTCAACAAAATAAAGAAACACATAAAGCTTTTAAACAAGTAAAGGATGAGTAAATGATGACAGAATTTAGATTTTTGGGTGAACTGACCCTTTAAAAGTGCAGTGAAATGAAATGAATGTTCTTTAGGTGTTAGTATCAGTATGTTAGTCTTAATCTCTAATCTAGTGTCTCCAAAACTGATCAAATTCACATGTAGAAGATATAAACCTGATATAAACCTCTACAGTGTGCAGTTTGTCCCTTTCACCTTAATGGATCAATGATTTTCTGTCGTCTCCTCATACTCCAGCTTCTCATCAAATCCTCTGACCAATCAAGTGCTCTCTTGTGCTTGACATGCCCCGCCCCCTTCTCTTTATTGGCTGATTTTTTGAAGTGATTGCACTTAACCACTCTCACTGGCAGCTGTGAGGAAAAACAAACACTGTTGGCAGATTTTTCGTAAAAGGGGGCGGAGCTACTATATGTCCCGCCCTCTCTTCATATTTCAGCTGAGATTACGTCAAACACAGAATAACTCAGATATTTCAAAGCACTTCATGGGACTTTTAACATTAACAATAATAGCATTTGCACTTCCATCTCCAGAGTCCAGACACATTCAGGGTTGTGTGTGTGTGTGTGTGTGTGTGTGTTATTGTGCAGTGTTGTGTGTCACTGGATGTGTTTCCACTGAGCTGATGTCTAGACGCCGCTCTTCTTCTTCTGGAGGCGTGTTCGGGCCGGTTCGGTGAGGATCAGTGGCTCTTTGGTGACTGTAGCGCTGTATTTCTGACCCAACAGCTCCACCTCCACCTTCTGACCCAACTGGGTGAGTCCCACAGGCAGATACGCAAACGCCACGCTCTGATGAGTGCTGTAACTGTACGAGCCCGACGTCGTGTTTCCCACAACCTGAGGAGACACACACACCAGTGTATATAAGCCAAGGGTGGGCAAACTTTGTCCTGGAGGGCCGGTGTCCTGCATAGTTTAGCTCCATCTCTAATCAAACTCACCTGAACATTCTAATCAGTGTCTTTAAATCAGAAATCTATTAGCAGGTGTGTTTGATCAGAGTTAGAGCTAAACTGTGCAGGACACCGGCCCTCCGGGACAGAGTTTGCCCACCCCTGATATAAGCTGCCATGTGCAGTGTTTATAACAGGTCTTATTCAGTGTTTATAACCTGTCTTGTTCAGCTTTTATGATATCCCTTATTCAGTGTTTATAACCTGCATTTATCAGTGTTTATAACCTGCATTGTTCAGTGTTTTATAGAGGATCTCGTTCAATGATTATAACTTGTCTTGTTCAGTGTTTATTACAGGTACTGTTCATTGTTTAATTACAGCTATTGTTCAGTGTTTTACTATGTCATGTTCAGTGTTTATTACCTGGCACATTCATTGTTTATAACCTGTCCTGTTTAATGTTAATTACAGGTGTCATTCTGTGTTTATTACATCTCGTTCAATGCTAATAACCTGTCTTTTTAGTGTTTATAACCTGTCCTGATCAGTGTTTATTACCTGTATCACTTACAGGTCTTGTTAAGTGTTTTTATCCTGTCTTAGTGTTTATTACAGGTATTGTTCAGTGTTTATAACCTGTCTTAGTGTTTATTACAAGAATTGTTCATTGTTTTTATCCTGTCTTAGTGCTTATATACAGGTCTTGTTCAGTGTTTATAACCTGTCTTAGTGTTTATTACAGGAATTGTTCATTGTTTTTATCCTGTCTTAGTGTTTATTACAGGTATTGTTTAGTGTTTATAACCTGTCTTAGTGTTTATTACAGGTATTGTTCAGTGTTTATAACCTGTCTTAGTGTTTATTACAAGAATTGTTCATTGTTTTTATCCTGTCTTAGTGCTTATTACAGGTATTGTTCAGTGTTTATAACCTATCTTAGTGTTTATTACAAGAATTGTTCATTGTTTTTATCCTGTCTTAGTGCTTATTACAGGTCTTGTTCAGTGTTTATAACCTGTCTTAGTGTTTATTACAGGAATTGTTCATTGTTTTTATCCTGTCTTAGTGTTTATTACAGGTATTGTTTAGTGTTTATAACCTGTCTTAGTGTTTATTACTGGTCTTGTTCAGTGTTTTTAACCTGTCTTAGTGTTTATTACAGGTATTGTTTAGTGTTTATAACCTGTCTTAGTGTTCATTACAGATATTGTTCAGTGTTTATAACCTGTCCTGTTTAGTGTTTATTACAGGTGCTATTCAGTGTTTAATTACGGGTATAGTTTAGTGTTTATAACCTGTCTTGTTAAGTGTTTATAACTTGCCTTGGTTTTTATTACAGATATCATTCATTGTTTAATTACATATACTGTTTAATGTTTATAACCTGTCTCTCATAATTTATAACATGTCTTAATGTTAATTACTGGTCTTGTTCAGTGTTTTTAACCTGTCTTAGTGTTTATTACAGGTCTTGTTCAATGTTTATAACCTATCTGGGTGTTCATTACAGATATTGTTCAGTGTTTATAACCTGTCCTGTTCAGTGTTTATTACAGGTATTATTCAGTGTTTAATTACATATATTGTTCAGTGTTCATAACCTGTC